AAAGTTACATTGCTCAGCAGAGCATAATGGGGTGCCTGAAGTTACAGGTAACAGGGTTTTCCAAGTACTTTATGGGATCTACCATCCTTTTAGAACTACTTCCCTACAACAGCATGAGCCTATCTCACCTCCTTGCTGTCCCTAGGAGCAAGGGCGCTGAGCTCCCAGGTTCGCAGCAAGGGGTTGAGGGTGGACACAGCTCCCTTGCATGTACTCCCTGCGGCCACCCACTGGGTAATGGCCTTGGCTGGGCAATTCAGAACGCGGCCCCAGGACCTCGCACACTTATCCCTGCCACCAGAAGTGCCCGTAGAGAGCAGTAAGTGTTATAGTGCAGCACATTCCATCTTCACCTCGGCAAGCATGGCAGGATCAGACTGCCACTTTCAGATAATAACCATTTCACGTACGCAGTTACAAGACCTATTTATAGGGATTATTTCAGCTGCCATCTTTACACTTAAGTGGAAAGGACTGGTGCTCTGGACAGGTGGCAATTTTACACTACTCACCCACCTCCGTATCTTCCTATTTGGGTGTGCACTATGTGGTTACATTTCCATTTGGATGACTTTAATGTTCTTTAGGCAGTGAAAGTTCTTGAAAAAATGATGAAGCAAAAGAAAAAAGTTCAGGTAGGCACTGAAGTAAAGCCAAGTTGGGAACATTTGACTAATGACCCACCCAGGCCTTTTTTGCCTGGAAATTTGGAAGAGGTGTTTACGATTAGCTGTTTGTGTATCCAAGCTATGCAAACTAGTAAAAACAAGTCACATGAGAGGGAGAGAAGGAACATTGACTGCTTTGACAACTGCTTTGCCATTGCTAAGGAAACTGCTCCCTTGGTAACCATGGTCAGTACATCTGTCTTATTTTATCTCCAATCCTCACATAGACACCATCATGGAAAGAATATTAACACAATAACAAAAAAATCCAAACATTTCAGAAAAGGAAAAACTAACAAAAGCGCAAGGTTTCTATTAATTTGTTTACTAAAAAGTTTAGGAAGATTCTGCTTTGGTGTCAATTATGGCTTTGCCTTGCCTACCTGAGATGTGCTCCGTAAATATTAGCTTATTCACAGAAGCAATTTATGGTTTTGTTCTGCTTTGTACTTTAAAATATGCAATACTTATTTTCTGTTAACAATCCTAATTTACCTAATGCAATTGGACTTGACAATAGGAAAGCCTGAAGGCTGAGAAAGCTTTTACCGCTGCCAAAATGAAAGTTTATGTTCTTTTTGTCAGGAACACGCTCTCTCACAGATTTGAACAGCGTAGTAAAAATGGAAGTCCTGATCTGAAGGACAACAACTAACTTCTGAGATGTCTCCGAACCTTTTGGGTCAGGGACATGCAGCATCACCAAGAGCTTTCTTGACAGTCCTGCCCAAACTCATTAGCAAGTAAGAGAATCAAAAAAGTACAGAGGGAAATCCATGGGGAAATCCTAGATGCAGTTTTTACCCCTCTTGAGCAGAATCAGGATATCTACCCACATCTAAAAATAAGCCAGATGTGGGATATTTTGATGGAAGTGCAACTCTACCCAAAGAAATGACTATGCCCGACAAAGCCCTCAAATCTAACGAAAAAAAGAAATCTGCCTGGTACAAAGGATGCAAACATTCTCTGAAGCTTTCTATCCTCTATCTAGTAGTACTGGAGGCATCCCAGTAACATTACATGATCATTTTCCTATTCCTGTAAAGTGGTGGGGAAGAACTCAAGTAATGGTGAAAGATGAAAAAGACATCCTAAGTAGGTTTGAGAGCATCTGTTCTCAAAGTGGGCCACAGTAATGGCATGATGCAGGGGCTTCGGGTCATACAACCACTTGAAAACACATTCCTCCAAAAGCAATTAATCTGACATTATAACTGCCAGGGCTGGGTTTTGTGAATTTAGAGTGACTGCACGTATAACCACAACAAACACCTGTTTGATAAGAAAAACCTCTGCATTAGCTCAGACCAAGTCTTGTGTCACTACTCTGATAGCAGATGCCAGCATATGCCTAGAGAAGAGCTCAGTAACAGTAGCAGAGCCCATCAGGGATTATAGGAATGCTCAGGCATTTCAGCAAGTGGCTGACAGACAATTTTAGACTGATGGGCTGCCATCAAGTCCAGTGTAGAGGCAGTAAAGTGTGGCTTTTCATGGTGGTGTGAGCAGGTGTGCATCCCACTGGGAGTGTGCTGCATGATTTGTGGTGGGAATGAACTGAGAGCGATGAGTTTCTCATGGAAGCTACTCACAGCTCCTTCCTCTTGAGTTATCCTATTGACAGAAACATCACACAGCAATGACTCATCTTCAACTGACACAAGCAACCCTGCATCCATTTCTATGGCACAAATGCTGCAATGGCATCAGCAGCAAATCTTACCTTCCCACCAGAACACATCGAGCATCCTCCCTTCATACCTATTCTGATAGGGAAACGTAACGCAATGAGAGCTACTCTCACCGGCACTTGCATTCCTGCTGCAAAAGTTTTGAGACACTACCAACATAAACACCCTTTTACTGCTCTATCATGGAGCCTGGTCCTTCATTTTTATAGGTAGGCTTTACAATTAGCACTCACTGGACATTCATTTAAACTTTATCCAGAAGCCAGAAATGGTTGTGCAAATACCACTGGTGTAAGAAATTAATTATTTCTTCTAATCCTTTCTCTCTCACCTGTGTTGATCCACTGACATGATAAGAAAGAGCAGCACCTTGCTTCAGTTGCCCTGCAGGGCTCAGTAAAGCTGTGCTTCACTTTCCCTTAATGCCAAATGAGGGTGATGGCAATCTCATCCTTCCCAGGAGCTAAGTGTGACTACAGAGACTACCAAAATCCTCAGATATTGTCAGGGAGCAACAGGGCCAGGCTGCTCCCTGAGTGACATGAGAGACCCAGACATCCCCATCCTGCAGTACCTGAGCAGGGTGGGCAGTCCTGGAGATGGAGGCTAGGTCCAGCCAGGAACTCAGGTCCTAAAGCAACACCGTAGTGAGATCAAGTTAAGAAATCAGCCTGTGGGCTAGGAGCAACAGGGTCCATAGCCAAGCTATGAGCTAGCATGCCCCCAGCACAGCTCAGAGAAGGGAATAAGGGTCCCCCAGCAGAGCTTAAATGGGCTCCTGGGCCCACAGGTGTTGGGTACAGGCACCAGGTGAGGTTGGTCAAGGCAATTAAGGTTAATTACTGCTTGCTATCTGGACATTAGCAGGAGACAGGGTAAATAATAGGTATTTACTAAGCTACTAAAATCTTGATGTCTAGCTTAAATATTAAGGAAACCCTGGTGACAACTTTTTTTTTTTTTTTCAAGTATTTCAAAAAGTAGGGGTAAGGTACTACTTTGAGGAAAGGAACGATTTTTTTTTTTTTCCCCACATTTTATTTAAAATAATAATACATTTCAGAGAAAAATAGAGAAGTATATACGTATTTACCACTGAAAACTAGAGTGTCCATGTACATAAATATATTAAAGATTTTGCAGAAGACCACTCTTGTTCTCAGACTGACTTTATAGCCTGCATGAACCCTTCAAGGTCTGATCCAAGTAGTGTAAAACAGACAAGCAAAACACTTAGTTTAGCAGCACGTGCTTTGCAGTGTACTACCTATGGCTGCTGCACGATGCTGAATCTTCTCGCCAGTCACTTGCTGTGGAATAACTCTAAGATTAGGCAGGCTAAGGCCAACGTGAAATCTGTGCCACTTAACCGCTCTGTCAAAATGAATTGGGCTGCTCTTGTTGCACTAGCCTTGAGAAAAAAGCATTGGGCCTTGGCTGGCATACACCGATGGAGCAGGGAGTGAGGCTGTCCCTCCATGTGGCAGGGTGACAAAGCTGCCTGGGGGAGGCAGGAGGTCTCTTTGTGTCAGCCAAGGACCTTCTCAATCTGGCCTCTGCAGGGTGATGCTCCCACTCCCAGCCCTTAGGTAGTGCAGCATCAAGGCTGCTTTGAAGCCAGCTGGCCTGGTTTTGAGATTGCCTGAAAGATAACTGAGAAGACAAGTTGGCTGGACAAGGGCTAGCAAGAAAGTAGGCCACCAAAAGTTTGTGATTAAGATAAAAATGCCTTTGTAGTCTTTGTGGTGATTGAGAGCACTGGTACTCAAAATCTGAATGGCTCTGTTCAAAGAATGGGCAAGAAAGAGCTTTCCTAAATCCTTTACTTTTGCTAAAAAATGACAAGAGATCATCTGACAGCAGGTTCATTAGGCTCATCTTTCAATAACGAGGCTGTCCTAGGAGCTGCCTGGACTCTCACAGCTGAGCCTGTTGCCTGCACAGCCTCCAGCAGGATGTCATAGAGCCCCTGCTAAATAAAATACCTGAACCCACCACATGCCCCTGGAGGCCAGAAACCTTCCTGAGCTGTCTGGGAAAGGAGAGGTTGAGCATGGTGGAGAGTAGGTGTGGTCTGATCAACTTCTGAAGATGTACAGAAAAGAACACAAAACAAGTTTGGAAGGGACATGAAGATCATGCTTAATTTGAAAGGGTTTGCCCTTGAGACCCATGGAGAGCACATCAGCTGGCTCCAGCTCATGTGTTTTCTCCAGCACTCTAGAAAAAAAGAGCCGAAGTACAGTATGTACTCGTCTGCTGAGACATTTAGATTGGCTACTGATACTCTGCAAATGTTTATAAAGAAAACAAAATGTGGATGATAGCCATTTTAATTAAAACGTGCGGATTCGGTTCACCCCGAGTCACATGGCCCCTGAGCCATGTTCTTGCCCTTTTGGAGACATCTGCTCCACAACAGCACCAAGGCTCTGTGTCTTTTGCTCTCTTGCTGCTGTTTGCTTGCTTGACAGGTCTGGTATGAGCAGCTATGGGTGGAGGCATTGCCAGGGCCAGGTGTCTGAGCAGCATCTACAAGGTGAAGGTTAATATCCCTTGGCCCTGCCACCTCAGTTTGATTTTAATCAAGTCAAAGCCAAGAGGAGGAAAAAGACAGAATTAAAACTTCAAGGCTTACCTGCCCAGGGCAGAGTTGCCTCCTGTGTACCATGTAAACTGTCAACAAATTTGGTGGCTGGTTCCTCAGGTGAGAGATGCTCGTGAGCTTCCTCTGGGCCATGCAGCACATCCTCTCCCCAAATCAGGAGCGCAGATATTTTTGTGATGTTCTGGGGATGTTTCCTAGACACTGTCACTTGCTGCACAACATCACCCAGATACATATATGCCTGTAAAGCACGAGAATCCCATACTGAGTTATATATACCATGCCCACACTGAGCCTTCAAAAACATGGGAACTACAGTTCTCGAACCATTGTTCTCTGTCACTGTCCCCCACCTCCAACGCGGGTGACTTTGCTAACCTTGCAGTGAAGGAACTGACAACCCTGATGAGAGCAGAGACATAATTTCACATCCAGCCCAGAGCATTTATTTACTCAACCACTGTAACCCCAGGGACTCATGTGGGAGGGTGCTGTCTAAGTCTTCCCACTCAGCTCTTGCTGAGGCTGAGAACCACCATCCTGCAGAGCCTGACACATTCTGGCACCTGGCTCATATTGTCCTAGCGAACTGTGAGACAGAAACAGGTGCCCACTGGAGTGGCTGGAGCAGTGGCCATATCAGGGCGCCTTTAGGAGACCTTCAGCCATCAACAGCATCCTTTCTCTGTGGCCCAGAAATCAGGCTGGGCCAGGGTTTTAGCCACAAAGGGCTCGATTCTCCCATGCCACTGTCTGGCCTTGGTGACACTGTTGCCCAAAACGTCTACTGAGGTGTCAAGAAATCCCAACTCAGCCTCCGTGGCATGAAATTTTATATCTACTGTGTGCTGATGGGACAAACGGGGGCCTCCTCTTCCCACCAGATTTTCACAGGCTTCTGACAGCTAATCCCATTTTCCTTCTGTGTCCTTGCCATTTCCTTATTTCCATCTGTTTATGTGATGTGTGTGTGTGTGTTCTGTATGCTGAAAGCCTAACACAGAGCCCAAATGGGTGCTGCCTACATCTCATGGTGCCCAGAGCTGCCGCATGCCCCGGCCTCTTTGCAGAAGGCCAGCCAAAAAAGTTTGCTTCCCTTTCCTCGCCTCAGTGCTTTTGGATGTCAGGACCAGCGTCAGCTCTCTTCAGAGACTGGAGCAACTGCTGTGAATTTAAAACAAATATTTTTCATCTCAAATGCCACGGCAGGTCAGCTAAACAGAAAAGAATAGCTGGTAACAGGCGAGAAACGATGACAGGGTGGAGTGTTTACAGCTCCATCAACAGCTCGGTGTTAATGAGCTGAGTCCGAAAATTACCTCTGTATTGATGAAGGCTTGGATGGAGCACACAGATGAGAAGGATAGTGATTGCCTCTGGCTGCAGGCAGAACTGGAAGAGCGTTTATTTTTCACTTTCAATTTAACTATTTTTTTGGAGAGGGCAGTAAATTTCTGCAAACTGCACTCCTGCAGCTGCCTGCAGCCTGGCACATGTTCAGGGGTGCAGGATTTCATCCCGTCCTGGAGCACATCTGTCTGTGCACAGGAAGGAAAAAAAAACTTAGCTGTAGAGTCTGTCCTTTGGTGTGTTTTTGTGTACTCATGTGCTTCTAACAAAAAGTGCCAGGCAGCAAAAATGTACCTGCTATATGGATGTATAAGGGCTGCAAATATATCAGACAAAAACAAAAAAAAAATCTCATGTGTTGCAACTGCTGTAATCAATGGGAACGTTCTCATGGAAGCAGTTACTTCTGTCCCTGAGTTTTCCCTTTTCTTTGTTTTCTGTATGAGGTATTGGTATTGCTCTGGCTGAGCAAAACAGGAAAGGGTAGAGCGATGTCCCTGGTGGATGCTCCATTTGAACTTCCAATTTATCAGTGATGGAGACAGGTTTTTCAGGATACCTTTCTTTATGTGGATTCCATTTTTGTGATTTTTTTTCTAGGAAAGCCTCTCCTGTTCAGGGCAGCCACTATTTCTGAGCGACTTTTAGCACAGCATGTCTCTGTACAAGAGTTTTAATTGTGTTGAACTGTGCTGCAAGTAAGGGCTGATGTGTTCAAGTTGAATGGCACAGTGCCACACGAACAGTTCAAGCACATCAGCACTCAGCACTGCCCTTTAGGTCCCTGCTTATGATTTCTGAGGGTAATTTTCTGTGGTGGAGGCATTTCCATAGGTCAAGAGAGGGGACACCTCAAGAAATACCACTCTTCAGCTATTAGTGAAATTCATTTATAATTTCTGCCATAAATTTGGATTAGTAAATGGTTGATTTTGTTAGTGTTTGTGTGTCTGAGGGAGAAGAGCTCCGGCAACCAGTAGTATTTTTCCCTGAAGGAACAGTATTTATTGTTTTAAGTGGGCACTTTCTGCTTATATGAGAAAATTTAAAGGATTTTTTGTTTGTTTCAAAATACAAACAAGAGAAATAGTTCTAAATGCCCCAAACAGATGCTTTTAAACAATTTAGCAATACAGAGAAAGTATACCCTGTTGAAGGCAGGCTACAGGAATGTTAACATCCACTCAAGGTAAATCAAGTAATGGACTGTTGGCCTATTTTTCAAACCGCTTCTCCTCAGTAACTTGACATTTGATAGGATTATCTATTACTGTTGGATTTTGGTTGACTCTCTGGTATGCTTGAGAAGATTGTCATCTTGTGATTTAAAGATAATAGAGCCAAGCATGTGAAACTGCACACAGAGAATAAACCTTTGACTCAGAACTGACTATTTTGTTAAAAAAAAAAAAAAGAGGGCGACTTTGACTTGAGCTCCGTTTGATACACTCACGGTTAATGAAATTATCCAGAGATAACTTTCCATTCTAAATATTGCTGGGCTATTTTTGAAAGGCTCCTATGGCATTCTGCACAGAGCGGCCTGAGCGCTGCAAACGCAGTAACAATACGAAAAATCTGAGGAGGGTGAGCTTGATTAAAGACTTGTGACAATAGCTAATGTAAGCTTTAACTAAAAATGTCAACTCCATTTGTTTTCAGCTTGAAGAGTTTCTAGATCAGAATGTGCAGGTAGGAGTTACAACAATTTCAAGATTACACTTGACCTAGTAGAAAAGATGATTGTGTAAAAAGTGACATAAACTGGGGACTTGGTGCGTGTGTGCGCGTGTCCACATGCCTGTATATAAATACGTAAACACTGACAAAGGACTGCACCATCACAGGTTTCCAAAATATGCAATATCTATTTTTACTTCTAAGCCTCACAATTGGCAATTTGAAAAAAAAAAAAAAAAAAAAAAAAAGGAAAGAAAAAAGAAATGAGTTAGAGTGGGCTTTTTATTATGCATGGTTTTATTTCTTTGAATTTCAAAATTACCTAGCATGCATTTTAAACTTTGGTACAATTTGCAGGCTGTTTTCATTTCTATTTAAAAAGGCTAAACACTAAGAATGTGCCTCTGCTTTGCATTCTAATTGCATGTAACTGATTTGCACAGCAGAACAAAAACCTAATTTTCAGATTATGAATCATGCGCTAAGAAATAATTATTGTTTTACGAGGTAAAAAATGTTTTCCACATTTTCCCCCCTTGCCCAATTTATGAGAATTGTTTGCCAGTTTGCAGGTTGCCAGCCTTCCCAGAGCAGCATCTATTACTCTTTAGGGACTCGAAAAAAGGTAGACAGAAAAACGAGGCATGCAACTGTTTTGACTGCATTCTTTTGCTTGCAACGTAACACTTGCCTTTTATTATTTTATCTTCAACAATCAAGGGGTGACTAAATGGTTGCAGGTGGTGATGAAAATAAAAGCCATCCATCATTATTTATTAGGCATGAAAAAGATACACAATAATGTAATTTAATCCCGGAGCAGACAATTATTTCCACATATTGATAATACAATGTGAAAACTGTCATGAATCCTAATGTGATGTTCGCCTTTATTGGTGAACCACTAGTAGCAATGCAAATAATGAAATTGTATCAAAAAGAAAAAAAAAGTAATTATTTGCATATACCAATAGTGTTGTAGAAAAACACATCATTACTAACTTCGGAAAATATAATAATCATGGTTTGTGTGTTACTTTGGTTTTGAAGTTTGCAAATGCAGAAGCAAAATGTTCCTCTAAGTAAATATTTTATTGATTTCTGTATCATCAAAATAATTCCACAAGTTTTGATAAGGGAACTGTAAAGCCATGAGCAGACAGCTGTATAATCAGCACCAGTTTATAGAGGTTTGCAGATCTCTCTGTTAATCTATTCACGTATTTGTGCACAACACTTCCTCCATTAAAAATAATTTAAGAAATGTCTTTGCTCCATCTGGGCCTGATTCGAAGCCCATTTAACTCATCAGAAAGACTCGCATTGATTTTGGTGGGCGTTAGACAGAAACCCTTTGTTGCGGCTTTCTATAAATAAAGTTGAGCTCCAGTTTGGGCAGAGCAGTTCACAAATCTATATTCATACGGATGACATTCACCCCTGGGCAGATGCAAGCATGTGCCACTTAAGGTCCACTTATGTCTCATTTTGAGGCGGGTAAAAGGGCCTTTTGGCTGGACAAAAATATACATTTTTATAAATAGGCAACTGTACATGCAAAGTATATCTGCAACTGCACAGCTAATTTACATTTGAATTACCATGTCTAGGCATGCAAATCAGGTAATTACTTGCTCACATATAACCGGCCATTTGCATGCACAAATACCTATTATATGCATTCAGTCACAGTAATGTGTCTGAAGCATTTAGCTGTATCTCAAGAGGAACTACAGCAAGGAAGAGGTTTACATTATCTCTTATGGACTTGCTGTCTTCTATAGTAATGGAAGTGATATTGAACTCATTAGGAGATCTGAAAAGTTGCTGTGTATGTTGTCCCCTAAACCGAAGTCCCTTAGACTCAGGTCTGTAAGAGGTCATTCCTGGAGCACTTGTGTCAGCAAAACATTGAAAATCGGTTACAAATGGGGTGTCTCTTTCCCACTGTAAAGGCATGGACCATGAAATGGTAAAATGCATCCTGAAAATATTGCTGAACACATGATGCCATTCCAGGTGACATCTCTGGGGAAGCTGCTGAGCATTTTGGGCAAGTATCAAGGGCTGGGGATAGACATAGAGCTACTGTGCTTGTGGGGGCATCCCTGCTCAGCTTCTCCTAGCCTTGGCAGCAGCTGTTTTATATCATCACCATACTTCCCGGCTCCTAACACTTTATTTTCAGGGAGGAGCAGAGATGTCAAGTGAGGATTGCCAAAAAGCCAGACGCTATCCATCTCCCTGTGATGGGCACAAGGTGGTCTGAGCATCACCTGAGGTGCAACAGCAGCAGCTGCTATCCTGGAAAGCACACAAACTGGAGGCAGTGATGACAGCCAGGCTGGAGATGCAGCCACATCAGAGCAGAAAGGACCCAAGCGTGGCTCCACCACCCTGGGGGGCAGGCAGGGTGCTGCCAGGGGGAAGGAGCAGAGGAGTGGTTGCACTTTCACTTTTGCCTTGTGTTTAGGCTGTTGGTAGAAGGACAAGTGGGCCCGAAAAAAAACAACACATGATTTAAGTTGTTTTTCTCCATTAATCAGTGCATTTTTTTTTCAGCTGCCTGGCTTCATTACATTTGTTTGTCTTTCCCTCTCCAACTGAGCAGGGGAATCTGATTTTTTTCTGAATTTGGCTTAAGAGACAAATTAAAGTTTTCTTTGTTTATAATCAAAGCAGGAGTGATTATTTGAACATTTTGAAGGAATCATATAGTATTTTGAGAGTCTGTAAAAAGACAAGAAAGGTGATGGGAAGTCATTAGATGCTATTTTCTTTAAAACTGTACAGGGATGCTTTTCACAAAGTGACTCCATGACGTCTGTAGAGTTTCACCAAATGGCCTGGGAACTGATGGCAAATTTGTGAAAACATGCTGGAAATGTTTTGTTGATATTCCTGCTGACATTAGGGGCAGATCCTGCATGTCACCACAAATATTTGGCAGTGGAGAAAACCAGAGATTTTGTTCAGCTCTGTTTGGAATCAGATAGCAAATTGATCTTGGAGGCTCTCCCTGGAACTCTTCATATTTTTGGAAAACAAAAGATTTTCAGAGGAAGCCCTGTTTTTATTATGCATGAGATTGTTATGGGAGGAGAAAGAGGAGTCTGTGACTTACACAAAAGAAGAGGGGAACTGGAGCTTTTGCTGGAATTGAACAGATTATTTCTGGCCTTCGTTTTGTGTACTTTTCCCCAGGAACATGGATTTTTATGTGAGAAAAGATTATTTCTGAATTATTTATTATTTATTTATTTATTATTCCATCTCCAGGCCTCATACAATGGGAGATCAGTTACCTGTGGGGTCAGTCAATGATCCCAGTGTGAGTTGAGGGAAGGGAGGATGCCTGGAGCATGCCGTGGTGCTGGGCAGCACTCATGCTGTGGGATGGGGCTCACGGTCAGCTAGGGCAGGACACGCGGTCCTTCCTGGCAGTGCTCAGCCACCCTCGTCTCCCTCACGCTCCAAGTGGATGATTAGGCACAGAGAGTCCTGACTGCTCCTTTTCATCTACCATCTACAAGGCCTGGATGGAATCCCAGGCCCGAGAGTTTTTCCCTTAACTCCAGCCAATGTTTCACCTCGTCTTCCAGTAAGTGACAGTGTTTCCTCCACAGAAGCAAGGGTAGTGCCCTTGTTCACCATGGCAGCAGCATCTCGCAACCTTCTAAGGCTTCTTCCATTGTTTGTTGGGAAAAGACCAGGAGAGATGGCTGGAAATAACTCACCATCATTTTCCATCCCTGGCCTAGAGAATCCCAGAAAAGCTGGGAGCCCAGAGCTCAGCAACGTGACCTGCCTTTCCCCACAGGCACTGAACAGCTCCATGTAGGGAACCTCAACTCTGAAGTAGCAGAATTTCCCAGAGGTGACAAGGGAGGACCTTTAGGGAGACCACGCTGCGTGTACTTGTATGGGTTGGTGGATTCCAGATGAAGCAAAGAATAACTCTCCCTGGGAAGCTTCTGACTTCACAGATTGCTTAAACACTAACCATGTTTGGCACAGGGCTGGATGTGATAAACTAGATTCAAACAGTGACCCAAGGAAAAAACAACAGGGGAATGTGGCAGTCAGTCAGTTTTGTGGTCTGAACCTCACAGGAAGGACATGTTTTCAGATCAGACTCTGGCTGTAACAGCTAGGCTGAAGAAGAAAGAGAAGCAGGAGAGGCTTCTTCTCGCGCTGTCTTTGAGCTATTTCAAAATTGCCACTTTTGATCTCAGACACAAGTCTGGCCGCAAGGAAAGCCTGATCTGATGGTCCCAGCTTTCTGTCGCTGCCTACAGCTCCCCCATGCATTCAGCCACGATGCATTCATGACATCTAGATTCTGTTCTGTGGTGATCAGGCCCTGCTTTGCTAGTTACCAGCAATGTTATCACCATTACTGACTTGGATGGTGGAATAAAGGGTATGCTGGATTTGTGGGCAAGACCAACTTGAGCGTGGATGTGTTCACTGAGCAGGCAGGAACAGAAACAAAACAGAGTGCGACCCAGTAAGGTACCTCCAAAGCAGTACAGGGGACAGACGAGAGGTAGAAATGCAAGGTGGGGAATGAATAATTGATAAGAAACTGGGGGAAGGCATGGAGGGGTCATGAGGCAGGTGTGAGATCACACTGTTATGAGAAAGGAGCAGTCGTGCTCAGGGGGAAGCTCACCTGGAGAGCCACTGTCTGGTCTTCAGCACTGTGCTCAAGCAAGTAAGGAGAGGAAAGTTGCAGTGGAGACCAGCACCAGGGCTGAAAATCTGGGGAGAGAGAGATGGAGAATTGGTGTTGGTCAGGGGATAAACATGAGATGTCAAACATGTACAAGGTTGTTGCAGAAAGGCAGAGAATAAACTTCTCTCTGTCCACAGGGGATATGAGAAGTCATCGCGGGCTTAATTTTCCATAAGAGAGACTAAGTAAAAACTTTCTAATTATAAAAATTGTTCATAGTGGAAATGGCAACAGATTGTTTATGGGCACTGGAACAATCTATCAGTATAAGTAAACTTGTTTACTCCCAGAAAGATGTTGGAAAGTAGTCTTTTAAAAAGTTTATTATTATTATTATTTTATTTTTTTTATAAATCACAGCAAATCTCCTTCAAGTAAACATCCCTTCCAATCTCCATATAGCTGCTGTGTCTTCTACCTCTCCTCCCAGGCAGTGATGAATGTAACAAAGTAGTGGGTGGGAGGAAACACGGATAAATATTTTGTAAGTAGTGTACTATATATACTGGGCACAGATAGAAATAGTATTGTGCTCATTCTGTTTTCATTCTCACCAGCACTAATCAGGAATAAATCTAGTCGCCAAACTCTTGCTAGATGTAAAAAGTGGAGAAAGTGAGTGGTGAATGAATGTGTCACAAACAGTTCGTTGTGAATCTTTTGGTAAGCCAGCATCTTTGTTTTATTATCTGGTCATGCTTCTGTGCAAGAAGACTGAGGAGCCTGAGTCTGGTCATTATATGCATTTTTCTCAAAAGCCAACACTGTTATGGGATATACTGGAGACAGTGTGGGTGGAGCACAACATTATTTAAAAATAAAGAAATGTCTCCTTTTTTTGTTTTTCTGTATAAGAACAAATCATTTATTCCCCGCTGGATTTTATGAGTGTGTTATTTACCACTGTTTACTGTAACTAGCTTCCTATTATTACAAAAGTTGGCAAAGTGAGTGTGGGTCTGTAGCTTGCCCAGTTGCATTCCAATTCCTTTCTGCCAAAAACTAAAAAATAGGTTTTCCATGCACCTATCACATGTAGGAATATGTTTAACCACATTTCTTACTTCTACTGATGCCAGCGTCCTTGTCAGAAAGCCACCAGGAGCATGCCTAGCCCTCTCTGTCCATCAAAGCACATTGCTGACAGCATCCTGTGAGCACGCAGAGGAGGGATTCATCGCAGGGCTGCAGTGCTGGTGAACAACGCCCAGCCTGATTTTAACCTGGGTAGTTTAACTAGTACACACGACAGCACTTGGCCTGAGCTCATCCAACCCAAGGAGGAGGTAACCAGACGTCTGTGTGGTGCTTGAGCACCACTGCCATAAACACCCTTTACGAAGTGTCGGTGCTAGGATGACAAACCCAGCCTTCCCCTGCTATGCAGGTGTGCTGAGCAGTGTGAAAAGCATCATGCAGGAGCTTTTACTTCCCCAAGTATGCAAGGACAGGGGTTACACCCAGTCATGGCATGCCCAGGTGTGGCCATGGAGGAAAATGAGAAAGACAAAGCAAATCTGGGGAAACAGCCTCAAAGGAAGCAGCATTATTCTCAGGGCAGCCCCTTGCTGGAATCAGGATGAGTTTGGTGCCAAGGGTTTCTCCAGACGCTGCTGGAGCTACAGGAGCACGCTGCAGAAAGGGACTCAGGGGAGAGGTCAGGCCGTTCCCGTGAAGGATGCGTACCGTGGTGCTCAGCAGAGTTCAGCTGCATGTGTTTGCACAGGAGAAGCTGCTCTGGGTTTCTGTTTTACATTTCCATGGGGCCTGTGCCCTTTGTAAACAGAGGGGCCGAGAGACACAGGAAGAGCTGCGAGAGAACTGGCCCAACAAACAATAACTGGAGATATATTTGACTCTCTGCTTGGTGTTATTTTCTCTTTGCTTGGGCAAACAGTATTCTGACTGCTGCCTAGTTCTAATCAAACTGCAGGGTACTAATAAAACAAATCCAAACTAATAAAGCGCAGTTTCGTCAGCATTAATCCTCTTAAAGTTATCAGGTTTTCACATCCCTAGGTAGGAGTAGTACTGTCTGACATAAAGTTGAGAGATAAAAGTAGGATAAAAGAACCATTACCGTACAACAGCACTAAGACAAAAATATAATTGCAAAGGCTGAACTTGATTATTATTTAAAACATGTGTTGGGTGGAGGCACCAGCCGGCAGGAAGCATCTGATGCTGATGAACCCGCACAACCTCAGCGTGAGTGACTTCTGAGTATGAATGTAAAAGATTTATTAATTTCAGTTTTTAAGATGTTCTATTTGTTTTGAAAACATTTGGGGTTGCAAAACACATGAATCCTGTAACTGTTTCCATAAAGCCTGGAACAGTGGAACAACATTAGAGGTGGGGGTGGGGAACATTGATATATTTTTTTTTTCTGGGAAGAATTTCCATTAAAATTAAATCTAGTTTAATTATAGCTCCTCAGCAGTGAGTATGTGATTTCTGATTATGTCCCTGGTGGATGCTCAGGTTGGTACTGCTGTGGTTGGATTGGGGTCTGCTCCATTTCATTACTTTTTCCTTGAAGAGAAACCTCACTGGTATTCGTGGAAACCATGTGTCAGCGTGCGCAGTGTGTCATTATGTATTATCATATCATACAGTTTAAAAAACATCGCATTGTTGCTTCTGGTTGGAGTCTCTTTATGTGGAATACAGATGGCATTATTCTAGGTAATTCTCTTTCTTAATTCCAGCCCTCAAGCCAATCAAACAAAGAGAAAATTGTAGATGGATATGAACTAATTTCTTGGTATATATCCAAAACCCACAAATAATTAGAGATGGGAGAAGCTCAAAAGCTCAGTAGATTTGGTTTGGACACACACTCAAGTTTGACTCTTGTGCAAAGCTGTAGGGGAACCTCCATAATTAGGGCTGTGCTCCATTACCCCGGTGTAAACAAAGCCAGTGGTTACACCAGGGAAAGAGAGAGTTCAGAAAATGACCCCTATGGCTGAAGATCTCAGGAGAAAAGATTTTTTTTTTGGTGAGATTTCTATTACTTCCTGTTTCTGGTCAGGTTCAGGTCAAGAATAGCTTTTCTCACAGTGCTGGGGCACTGGTGTTCCCATCCTCAGCGGACCGGGAAGCACTGGGGAGCATGGAAATAAAGCTGAGATGGAGTTTCACAGCGCAGGAAAGCTTTGCTTTGGGCTAGGTCAGAGCAATGGGCAAAGGTCGACTTTTATTTTGTCTGAACTGATTCCTCTGTCCAAAGTGGCAGGATGGAAATATCAGCGTGGGATGTGAGAACACAGGAATGGGTCAGAGCCACCTCACCTGTACGGGATGACTCAAAGATCAGAAACTTATCTCAAATGCAAATCACAGTAACAATTCTTTCCTCTTTGTAGGCAGAGGATATCCCTGAAAGTAAGGACAGTTATTTGGTGAGCCATGGCTTGTGCAAGTCTCACTGGTGCTTACCCATAGCACCACCATGTGATATCACAGGATGCCTGAACTCAACAAAAACACCACAAGCACCCACCGTGACTGCAAGTCTTGGTGCCCCAGGCTCAGTGCTCAGCCTAGGACAACCCTGTGGAAGTCCCTCTCTTTTTATTGGAAGGCTCTAGGCATGGGCAGAGCATGGCTAAAAACACCAAAATTAAGTTGTGAGCTACACCATGCTGTGTCACACTGACTTATCCAGAGCTCTGTACCGTTACTCCAACACAAGAGTAGAGCTTAACTAGTAACCTGGTCTCCCCTCGCTTTTGAGACATGCCCCATCCAGCTGATGTCAAGGCCAGAGTCACCGTTTGGGATACCCAATGCTTCACAGAGAAGGAGGGAACACGAGCTGCATAGAAGTACAAAAGACCTTTAGCAGGAGGCCCAGAGCTTTTTAAAAGTTGCTTTCGGAACTGGCATTCCCCGTCTTCCTGCCACTTTTCAGAAGCATTGTCACTAGTGCTGCAGCCCCATGCCATAAAAGGATAAAAAGAGCTGAAATTTGTATATTAGCAGGAATATTTTACTGCTTGCAAGGTGAGAATGCAGTATGAGTGTTTTTTTTATATGCATCCAACTGCTCTGCTCAGACTCACAGTCAGGATAACTTGGCAAGGAACAGTTTTCTGTTGAGCATTGCAGAAGCCTGGAAGAAATACTGTTAGAAAGGGGTTCTTTCATCTAAGGAAATAACCTAAACCACTGCTGATCAGCCTGTATGAATCTCTCTTATGTCTGAGTAAGATACAGCATCAGCCCCTGACATTGATGTGGTAGCTGTCCTAGAAAAAAAAAAAAAAAAAAAGCAAAAAGAAAAAAACACAACAGCATTTTAAAACAAAGACAGCTGAATTGACAGCAACCTACACAGACGGCTGTGGCCAGCAGTGACACTGATTGAGGAAGACTTCTCTAAACTGGCGACAGATTCTGAATGCCAGATCCCACAATCAACCCTAAATGACACAAGGTAGAGTTTTATGTAGCTGCTGTGATTAGGGTACTCTCTCCTACAGTAGGAACATATACAAATGTTTTGCATTGTTGGACTCAAAACATTTTTCCTTCTTGATAACTCCTCAGACAGAGATGTGCTGAAAGGACATCTATTTGTAAATGGGAAACACCTTCACGAAGCTTTCCAGGGAAAATCTGCTCTTAAACAAGGAGCAGCCACTGGGGAAAATGCACCCAGCGCCCAAAGAGCAACCCCAGGCAGAGGTTGCTTTTGGAAGGTTTCAAAGCTCCATGTTTGCTGTGTTTGTTCAGCTTTCATTTTCTTCATGTTCATAGCTCATTGCTTCAATCATTTTTAACCCATTTGCAACAGAAGGGCAGAAAAACAGAGCTCTAATGCCATTGGGGTTTCCAGCACAGAAGTGGTAATGCAGATGGTACTACAGCTTTCTGCTGGCTGGAAAGCCAGCAGACCCACAGATTTCAGAAGGTCTTGGTGACTGCTGTGGTCATGGAAAGTCCATGACTTTGGGCTCATTTCTAACTCTCCTGTTTGGGGTAGTCACTAGGTGTGGTGCAGTTGCTGTCTGAGTGC